TTCACTCAAGGATCTGTTGATAAAACCCTTTTCATAAAACACAAGTCAAATGACATTCTCCTTGTTCAAATCTATGTCGATGATATTGTGTTTGGAGCAACAAACACTGATATGTGTTCAGAATTTTGCGACTCAATGAAAGATAACTTTGAAATGAGTATGATGGGGGAACTGCAGTATTTTCTTGGTCGTCAAATTAAGCAAACCAGCACTGGCACTTTCATAAGTCAGACAAAGTACATAGCTTCTATGCTAAGTAAGTTTGATATGATGAATCTCAATTCCAGTCCTACACCCATGGCTGTCAATTTAAAACTTGACAAGGACGAAACTGGTATTTCAGTTGATGAGTCTAAATTCAGGGGTATGATTGGATCCTTATTATACTTAACTGCCAGCAGACCTGACATACAACACATTGTGTGTTTATGTGCTCGCTTTCAATCAAATCCTAACGAGTCATATGTCTGCTGTCAAGAGAATTTTTAGATATTTAAAGGGTACCATGGATGTAGGGCTATGGTATTCTAAGCATGACTTGTTTGATCTAATTAGCTACAGTGATTCAGATTTTGCTGGTAGTCTGACTGATAGAAGGAGCACTTCAGGTAGTTGTCAGTTTGTAGGTACCTCTTTGGTCTCCTGGTCCTATAAGAAACAAGGGGCAGTTGCCCTTTCGACAGCAGAAGCAGAGTATATAGCTGCTGGGAGTACCTGTACTCAACTGCTGTGGCTAAAAAGTCAATTACAAGACTATGGATTTACCATGTCGAGCATACATTTACTATGTGATAATACCAGTGCCATATGCATGTCCAAAAATCCAGTTCAACATTCCCGAACTAAGCACATAGAAATTAAATACCATTTTATTCGGGATCTCGTCAGTGCTGGCACAATTAATTTACAGTATGTTAACACTGAATTCCAACTTGCAGATCTGTTTACTAAGCCTCTTTCCTTTGATCGATTTTCATTCCTTTGCTGGGAAATTGGCTTACGATCTCTGGCCTCTATCACGTCTGATTTAGGAACCTAGCTTATGCTAAGTTTCCTTTTCTTGTATGTTGTAATTTCTTGATTGAGATTTGCCTTGCCTTTTTCTCTTTGCTGTGTGTTCTTGCTTCTTTTGATCTTTGGCTTTCCTTAGTTGTTGGGTACGAGTCTGCCTGTTTAATTTCTTTCCTTTAGTTGTGAGCTTCGGTCTAGTCTATTTATTCATGCTTTAGTTTTGTTGTGTTCTCATTGATCTTCTGTGTCTCATTCCTGTCTTCCCCCAAAGTGTCAGCCATGGTGTATGCCTTTGCCTTGACCTACTCTGGCTCCTTTTTCCATGACCCTGTTCTGCCAAACTACCATCGTCACACTCAGTCCTTTGCCAACCGTCCCATCAATCCTTCTACCATCCTAAACCTTCCTGATTTCTTACCTCTAGGATTGGATGTGATGCCGTTTTTTCAGAACCTAGGTTGGGAATTCCTGCTGTCTCCTGAAGCCTCTTCTACCCTTGTTTGTCCTGAGGCAGTTAGGTTTTTCTTCTTTAACCTGCGTTACTTTGGTCTTCAATCTCGCACCCTGTCTTCTCTTGTGCATGGCCACATGATTACTCTCCCCCTGCATGATATAAGTCGTCTACTTCATATTCCTGCTTTTGGGGAGGCTCTTGCCCATCCAGCTGAACTCCCTTTATTCAATTTTGATGTAGTCACTGAGGCAGTTCACCTCACTGGTCATGAACCTGACCAGGATCTATCATTCTCTGCGGATCTCCTTTACCCTTCCCTGAAAGATTTTCACTACATTTTGACCAGAGTCTTTCTTCCTCGCTCGATTTTCCTCAATCGTGTCCTTCCTCTAGATCTGTGGATTCTGTCCCATGCTGTTGTTGTTGTTGTCCCTCTTGACTTCTCTCATCTTCTGTTTGGAGCACTTATTCCCTTCATCGATCATAATTTTCATGCTCCTCTCCTGTTTGGCGCTATGATTACTCGTCTGTTGCTTGCCTTGCCACTCAATCTGTCTCCCTATCGTACTGAGAATCCTTCTCTGTGGCTTACCGCGGATGACGTACTTCATGAAATTGGGATTGTGATTGAGGGGGAAGATGATGACATATTTCACTGGATCAGCAGCGACTCTAAGGTTGAAAATGAGGGTGAGGGTGGCGAAGCTGTGGAAGCACCAGAGATAGTAGAACCAGAAGTTGCTGCCCCTGCTCCTGTTCCTCTTGCATCTTTTGCAGTTGTTCTCCAAGAGCTCTATGGCTCTGACTCTTATTAGAGCCAGCTCTGTTGGAACTAGTTTTAGTAGATTCTGGTTTGCCTTGATAGATGTTTGTGTGAGGATTCTTGGAGAGACTGTTTTCATTTGGTTATTGGACTTATTTGATGTATTGCTCAGGGGGAGCTTCGAATTGTGATTGTGTTTTATCTGTCTTTTGGTATTGGAGTTATCTTATGAATGATGTCTTGCTGCTTGATTCGCGGAGGAAAGGTGTTTGTTAAATGTTTGCAGGTTTGAAGCAATCTGCAATCTCCAACTTAGGGGGGAGATTGTTGACTAATTCAAGTTTGAGATTGAATCTGAAAGATTGCAGTATCAAAGCCACCATTTAAGGAATCAAATCGCTGTCAAGGAAAGTTGCATTTCCTGTGTGCAACGGCTAGCTTGCCTCTCTCTATATATTCTTGCTGCTGATTTCATGAGGAGACACTTTTGCATAAGCTCTCAGTGGCATAGGTCTGAAGCTAGGAAATTGCATAAGGGGTTTGACAATCTCAGGGGTAGAGGTTCTGAGTGTGTCAAGGCAGATTAGATCAAGGCTGATCTTGGTGGTTTGTTTATTTTTGTTCTATTGTTTTCGTTTCATATTCTTGTCTTTCATTTTGTTTGAAAAACTGAAAAATAATCAAACGCCTCCCAGACCATATTCTGGGACGAGGAAGTAAACCATTGCACTGGGGCGAACCTCGTTAAAAAACATGGTGTGTCTTTTCTTTCCTTGCTCTACTTTCGCTTTCTCGAGTGGTTACTTCAGCCCTCTGTTCTTCCCCTGTTTTTCCTCTGCTGAGGGATTGTGCTCTGCACTAAACGAAGAAGGAAACGTTTCTGGTTTCCTTGACAAACCAGAGACTGGGCTTGGACTGTTCAATTTTGGGCTCGGGTTTTATTAAGGTTGAAAAGTGGGCTTGAAGTCTTTCGAGCCCAGACTTAAAGAGAAGGAACGTAGAGAGTCGCAAACTCTTTCTTTCATCGTTCCCTTCTCTGGAAATCTGATCTCAAAGTCACCTAACCTGAACCCTAAAATTCCTCAACCTCTTTCAATTTCAACAACCATTCTTACTATCAAACAAACTCCAACCAAACTTCTCACCAAACAAGTGAGACCAAAACACAACTACCCAAAGTCAACTCCAAAGCGATTCCTCCACCGAAACCAAGCTAAGGAATTGAAAGCTACCTCCACAAAGCAAAACTTCAGTCCAGCGCCAAATTCCCAAAACCGCAACCAGGCTCTGATACCACTTGTCAGAACAGAAGCGTGCAATCGATAATCCAAATCAACACGAACGAACACAAATTTAACGTGGTTCACTAACACAATGTGTGTTAGCTAATCCACGGGCGGGGGAGGGGGGGGGGGACAAATTTCACTGATTTGAGGAGAGTACAGGTTACAAACCAAATTCCAAACGGACAAACCCAACAAACTAACTTGACTGACCTTACTACAGACTAGGGTGATGAAGAGTATTTATAGAACTCTTCTCCTAATCTCAAACAGAAAACCAAACTCCTTTTCCCAAACATACAAGGAAAAGGTCATACAAAACCCAAACACAAACCCAAACAAAATAGGCCCAAACACAAAACAAACCCAAATCAAATTCAAGTCATATTCCAACAAAATGCTTCTCCATCTTCACTGTCATTCACCAGCGTAAATCTTATTCCATCTCGTACCATGTTGTCCTCATCCTCGTTCTTAATAAATACGAATATAAGACCTTCTTAACTTAATGGCTCTTGCTTGTTGTTGCTTGGAGTCGAAGTTCTTGTTCACTTGCTTTATGTCCCTTCATAGACCATAACAACTTTTCTCATATCATTCAACCATAGGTCAATGATTTTCGTCCGCTTTAATCTCTTAGTCGATGCCCTAACTGCTAACAAAATGTGCATTATTTATTTTTAAGCTAGTCGGATCCTCTTGATGACATTCTTCCATGTCTCAACCACTTAGAGTGAGGTACCTTATGTTAGGACTCCAAAATAGTTAGTGGACAAAATTTGTTGCATTAAAAATTGATTTCGAGTTCAACTGGCTCGTTTGAAATTGCCACAACATTTAAGAATTTCCTTGAAATTGTTGAGATCGACGTCCAACTTCTCACTTACACAGGGTTGAGATGAACAAATTCTTATAAGAACTCTGAAGTTAAACGTGTTTAGGATGGAGGAGTGTAGAGAAAATTGAGCTTTTGGAGGTCACCATGATGCATCCAAAATCAAAACCTTTCGAAATTAGACCCTAAACATACAAAACGTTGATTAAGATAAGATTTGAGATGTTATATAGACTCTGAAGAGCTTGGATTGTTTTTTCATTTGAATTTTTTTCCAATTTGAATTTTTTTCAAGTATTTTTAAATTATTTTACTTAGTGATAAAAAATATTTCGGTCAAATGACACATCATTGGTTGGTGTTGACCATTGACTACTAACGGTCGAAACTAATAGAGAAGATCGTATTAGAATTATTATTTTGAAAAATTTCGTTAGTTTTAAGTTTTTGAGTAGTATTTGGCATTTGCCTTTCTAGAATTTACAGTCGCGAAGGAAATCAAACGAAAAGTTTTTAAAAATGGCAACTTGCCTGTTCGTCCGCGATTTTCTAGTTGCAGAAAATTCTAGAGGCGCAACTCCCACCATCGATTTGGTCAAGCGATACACGCGCTGGCTGGCTGATCCTTCAAGCAAAAACCTGATTGCCGCACACCGCGTCCAACTCCTATGACCTATCCATGTGATATCATAAAATTCTTCTACGTCCATTTTCTGTTCAATTCCAAATTCCAGTCGAAAGCTCCTTCGCCCATCCTCTCGTCCTTCAGCTCGTCTTCCTCCTAATTCCTACCTCGTCGATAATATTTCACAATGGCTCGTGGCCGCGGCGGTAGCTCTGGCAAAGGTACGTGTCTTGGTCGCTTGTGTCGCTTCCCTTTTCTCGCATTTCTCCTCGCGCGTGTTACAATTTTCCCGGCGTTTTGGCAAATTTAAGCCAAAACCTAGCCTTCGAAAATGGAGTTTCGTCGTGGTTTGAGGAGAGACCTTGCGAAATGGGATAGCCAATCGTCTGATTGACTAGTAGGTTTCCGTTGTTTGTTTGTGTTGAAATTGAATTGTGCAAGAGATTTAGGGTTTTCATCGGATCTTACAGGAACGATTTGCTCAATTGCTGAAATGATTTCGGATTTTTTGATTCCTAGCCATTGTTGAATCTTCTCTGTAACACTTCAATCGAATCATCGTTTCATCTCTTACTTACCACACATGATTACGCTGATCTCTCCTTTTCTTTCTCTTGTGTTTGGTTACCGGCCCGCTCAGCTTCCCGTTCCCGATCCCGTAGCCCTCCCCCGCAGAAAGGTAAATGCTAGCTCTTGAATACAATCTCTGCCTGATGTTCCGTTCCCCTGCTCATTGTCGATTGCGACAACCATCTTCCCGATTTGTAATTCGTTTTCTTCGGTATTTTGTAGCTGCTGCTGCTCCACCGCTAGCTCCGATGCAATCACGTTCCCAGAACGAACCCATAGCAAGAGGAGGTCTCGGCGCTGCAGTAGCAGACGGTGGGTTCGCGCCTCTATGCCCTCTGCATTATTCCCCCCATAGGGTAGATCGGATCGAAATGTGAACTTAATTCGATACCATTGTTTTCTCGAAATTATGAACCAGGACTGGCATGGGGTACTGGAACCGCTGTGGCTCACAGAGCTGTGGACGCTGTTCTTGGTCCTCGAACCATCAAGCACGAAAGCTCTGCTGCCTCGTCCGAGCCTACTGCTGCAATGCAAGCAGCAGCCGCAACTCCTAACAGCACCATCAATTCTTCCTGTGATGCTCAATCCAAGGCCCTTCAAGATGTTAGTACTCTCCTCTCGCTCGGTTTACTCTTTCGACCCTGTTGATTGTGACCTTTTGGATTGATGTAACGATATTATTCCCGAGTTTTGTTACTCGTTTTGTGTGTTGAAGATTAGTCTGCCTGATGAATGATTTTGTGGGACTTGCAGTGCCTAAACATGTTTGGTACGGACATCGGTAAGTGCCAATTCTACATGGACATGCTGGGAGAATGTCGCAGGAGTGCTTCCGGTGCTGGGATGGCTGCTTGATTGTGAAGATAAAATTTCTGTTGAATTGCTTGAGAGCTTTTTATTGAAAGAAATGGTGGTAGCCCACTGGGTTTACTAGTATCTGTGTTGCTTATGTGTTGGTAGTTTAGGTGATGAGGGTTTGGATCATGGTGATTTCGATCCCTCTGCTCTTCATCTATTATTTGGGTATGTAAATGTGTGGGGCTAATGTTGAATGAATCTGTCAGTTATTTTTTTTTTCTACTTTTTTTTATACGAGGAAAATGCAAACTGCTGAATTCATACTTAGGTCATTATTTTTCGTTCAATTCCGTTAACTTAGTCTGATATGGCAGTCAACTTTTAAAATTGACAATTAACTAAGTGACGATTAACTAAGTGATATGACGATTAAAAAATAATAATTAAAATAAAATTTATCAAATTGAAAGGGGGCGCTTACTCCTTTGCCACCACCTCCCTTCTCGCAACCAAACCAACTTCAATTTCGCATCACTAGCTACGCCCATTGCCCCCTTCTCCGCTGCTTCGTGGTCGTAATCAATAGCTCCACCTCCTCCACCCTCGACGGGTCGATCCCACCCCTTCCTCCAACTCCATCCAGGCCTGCTGACTCACACAAAACGCCACACTAGAAATCCCCTTCAGAGCCCAAAATTTTAAAATCTAGAGGGGTGCAAAATAGGGCAAGTAAGTTTTAATTATCAACCCGAGCCGATCCATGTACTCCTACTTCAATAGCTTAGGTTGTTATCTAGCAAGCAACTTTTGGGTTTAGAACTAATGGAACTACAAACTAAACAAGCAAAGAAAAGTAAATAAAGGAAAATTCTAACAAATGGAGCATCACCTAGGAGTTGCTTCCCTCTAACTAGCTACCATGACTCGTTGGATTGAATGGAGTCGTGTGGTGTAGGTGGTTGTGAACCGCGAGGGTGAGCAACTAGTGATCGATTTGTCACGAGATCGATCCACTCACAACGTCTAGGGGAACCGCTAGGAGGAGCAATTAGTGATCCATTTGTCACGAGATGGATTCACTAAAGATCGATTTGTCAGGAATCAATCCTCTCACCCGGTCTCTAGGGGTTGCCTAGGGCTCTCCCTCAAACCGGAGTTTGAACTGCTTAATCACAACCAACCTAGATGCAAACTTGAGTCAAGGGGGGTGCTCATTTCTAACCTAGATAGTAAGCACAAAGTGCCCAGGACAACTAAGGTTGTCAAGCCTACCTAAAAAGGTGTGGTTTTCCTCTAATCTAGGTTAGGCAAGCACAAAAGATTTGGAAAGCACAACTAAGCACAATCACCATGAAGACACCTCTACTACTCAAATTGATGCAAAACCATACAAAATCATTCAATCTAAACAAGTAATTACAAAGTATTAGTTAGGGATCTACAACACCCAAGAGAAAAGAATGAGTTTCTAGAGAGAGAGAGAGAGAGAGAGGGGAGAGATTACAAAGAAACCTCTAGATCTTCTTTTTCTAGGCTTGATTCCTTGATCCCAAGCTTGAACAATGCCTTCAATTAAGCTCCAAGATCCTTCTCTCACTCTCTAGAACTCCCCTGTGGTGTTTTGGGTGGAAACCCTAGAGAAAGAAACCAATTCTGCTCCAAAAACCAGCTCTCCCTTCTCTCTCCCCGTTGTCGTCTTCATATTTGTCCGAAAGTGACCAGGTACACCTAAACGCGTCCGTGAACTCAGTGTCATCTCCAAAACGCACCGCTTCGCTTCTGTTGTTCACGGCCATTGGCTCCAGTTCACGGTCTTAGCGACCGTGAACTCCCTTGGCGTCAGTAACCTCTAAAACCTCGCTGGACTGCTCGATGTTCACGGATTGTGACTCCAGTTCATGGTCTTAGGAGACAGTGAACTCCCTTGTTTGCTTGTGAACTGCGACTGCTTCTTGGACGCCTACACTTCACTGTTACGGGCTTTAGACTTTTCTTCGGTTTCTATGCTTTTTGACCTCCAATTATCCTAAAATTCGACCTCGGCCCTTCTACACGTGCTAGGACCTCAAACGTATCAAAACAAACACAACCTAGCATGAAATATGTCGAGGAACGATGAAATACTAAGCTAAATGAATAAGAAATGAGGGGTAAATTATGTACATTTGGGCCCGAATCACTCCGCCACACTTACACGTTTGCTTATCCCAAGCAAACTTAGGACTCGATATATACACATGCTTTTACCCCTATTCTTGAGCCGTTTGAGATGTTGATTCTCGTGTTTTAGGACGATTTCACGCTAGGTTTTTCTTTTTTGTAATATTTCAGGTCCTAGTACGTGTAAAGGTTTGGGAACGAGTTCGGGGTCGATTGGACGAAGATTGGACATTTGGCGAGAAGTTGATGAAACCACATGGGCACTTCTAAAACCCACACGGCCGTGTAAGGGAACCCATGTGGTCGTGTGGAAATTCCAGGGAACTCACACGGGCAGCCTGGAAATCCACACGGCCGTGTGGTTGTGGCCGTGTGGGATGGCTGAAGTCACTTAATCGAAACTCCGCATTTTGACACTCACACGGGCAGCCTGGGGAAGCCACACGGCCGTGTGGTCGGGAAATTTTGGGTTTAACCCAATTTCGAGCCAAAGGAGAGAGAGAGAGAGAGAGAGAGAGAGAGCTGGGTTTTGGATCCCGAACACCCAAGGGACGAACCAAAGAGAGAAAAGACGAATTGAGGGAATTCTTTGAGGGGAATTGGAGGATTTCTTCGCCTTGGAAGCTCGAGGAACAAGCCCGGACTTGAAGACTGATCATCTGAAGATTCTTACTGCAGTCTCTCTCTTCTCTATGGAGTAACTTCCCTTCACTTAGGTTTTGAGGAACCCTAGCTATGTTTGTTTGATTGGATGATTGTATGAGTACTCCTACTTGATAATCTTGAGTTCATATTCAATCTATGCACGTTTTCATGATTCAATTCTACTTTAGTCGAGATTATTGATTCTGCTTTGATCCTATGAGAGTGAATACCTGATTAGGTCAATAGAGCACCATAGATTGATAGTAGTGGATTGATTGCTTTAGTCGAGGGTTGGTTCACTGCTTTGTATAGATTGAGAACCTCTATCACTAGAGGGAGTCTAGTTTAGAACGCCTTGATAGTTTGTTCTAGAGAAGGATACGTCCCTTTAAGCAATTGACTCAAGAGGGCCTTTTTCCTTTAGTCGAGACTCAAGGTCTAGTCAAGGATTCTCCACATTGTGAATGAAAGTGAAACAAGTTAGAAATCATCAATCATTAATTTGACTAGTGCTAGGAGGAATCATACCTAAGTGAGTTCCCAACCTGTAATTAGATTAACTTTAAAGGGTGCAGAAAGAAGTTGTGGAGGATGACGAAAGTGAAGCAGAAGGAGTTCTTGATCATTTCCCAGGGGTGATAGCACATGAAGAAGGAAGGGAGGCTGAAGAAGCAATTGGCGTCCAAGCCGAGGACGAAGTTGAGGGGGAAGAGGCTTGCACTGGCCATGAGTTACATGTGATATCTCCACCAAACTTCGAGGAATTGATTAGCAAGGACCCATTTTCAGTGTCTCTTAGCCAGACCAAGGCCACATCGACATCGGTCTCTCTTGGCGGACGCGATAGTGGCCAATCGATGCTGTCATATCTGGTTTGGGGCAATGAGACGAGAGAGAGAGAGAAGAAGAGGTCTTGAGGGTGGAGACTTCATCTGCATCAAGTGCACGAGCTTCCATTACCTATCATACCACATGCTCGTGACTTGAGACTCCACCTTATCAACGAGAACCTCAACTTCAAGGAGTTTTTGGGGTGGACCGAAACTTAGGAACCATTGTCCGGCTCACGACGTGAAAGAAGCGCTTGTTGGGAGGCAACCCAACCAGCCGCTTTGCATTTCTTTCTCTATTTCTCCTCGGTTGAGTCAGTTTTGTTATTTGATTTTAGAGTCAATAACTCAACCTTTGTTAGATTTGTGTGGTGTTTGTGTTTCGACTACTCTCTCCTCCTGGAATGCACCGCCTGCCTCGTCCACCATCATTCACCTTTGATCTGGTAACTTCGTTCTACCCTCTTTATTTTTCCTCCATTGAGGACAATGTCGTGCTTAAGTGTGGGGGGATGTTCGATTATGTATGCGGGTGAATGTTTGGCTGTTTGTGTGCTTGGAGCCTAGTCCATTATCCAAATTTTTAAATTTTTAAATTTGAGGGCTCCAAGTACTGTTCCCGGCAAAATCGTGCTCGGTATGCTTTGAATTGACAGTCTTTATGGTGATATGCAACCTAGGGAGGTAGTTGTAGCACTATGGAGGATGTTGAGGTATAAGATTTTTCTTATCTGTCTCTCTGCTATGCCGGTTGATTTTGTGAACTATTGGATTTAGGACCGTTGATTCATGTGGTATTGTTGACTCCTCTTATGTTGTGTTGTGGGCTTGTGTATCGAAAAAGGGTTCTCAAGTGTGAAATGAAAAAAGCAGTTGGTCCTCCATGTCAAAAATTTGAAATTTTAAGACATGGGGTAAGCCAAACGTGTGTGGCACTGTTCATTGCACAAAATCGGGTTTTGGAGGAGATTTTAGTGATCCTTAGTGGGGTACTCCAACAAGGTGAAGCTAAGCTGTCTCTAGTACAAGTAAAACTTCCACCCGTTGAACGGTTTGCCTACTTGAGGATGTGTTTTTAAGGGCACGGATAGAGCTTCCGACCCCCCTTAATTTCATTGACCCTCCAAACAAGTTGAGGAAAAGGAGTTAAAAGAAGTACTCTGGCGAGCGCCAGATGTACAGAAATTGCTCTTGCTCGACTAATAAGGGTCTACCGTGCAAAAGACTGCAGTTGGAACCCCCGCTAAGTGAATGCAAAAGAAAAAAAATCAGTAAAATGAAAGTGAAAAAGGGGTTCCAACGGTAAAATGAAGTGAAAGAACACCCCGGTACAACGAGTCCTTAGTTGTGAATGGTGTGAGTCCCTTTATCCATGAACTGACTGTCTTACTTCCACTTCTTCTCATGATCCTGGCTTGAGTCTAGTTCTGGCATTGAGAGAGACAGGGGATGTCTTAGAAGACCAGTTGACCTAGTAAGCTGCTATATGATCTAGGAAATCCTCTACCGACGATCGGGGTTGTTTGTTGCTATAGAGGTCTGGAGAGTTGCATTGGTTTGAGTTAGGTTTGCTTGGGGACAAGCAAACGGTTACGAGTGTGTCTAGGGGTTTGACAATCTCAGGGGTAGAGGTTCTGAGTGTGTCTAGGCAGATTAGATCACGGCTGATCTTGGTGGTTTGTTTATTTTTGTTCTATTTTTTTCGTTTCATATTCTTGTCTTTCATTTTGTTTGAAAAAGTGAAAAATAATCAAAGGTCTCCCAGACCATATTCTGGGACGAGGAAGTAAACCATTGCACTGGGGAGAACCTCGTTAAAAACATCGTGTGTCTTTTCTTTCCTTGCTCTACTTTCACTTTCTCGAGTGGTTACTTCAGCCCTCTGTTCTTCCCCTGTTATTCCTCTGCCGAGGGATTTTGCTCTGTACTAAACGAAGAAAGAAACGTTTCTGGTTTCCTTGACAAAACAGAGACTGGGCTTGAACTGTTCAATTTTGGGCTCGGGTTTTATTAAGGTTGAAAAGTGGGCTTGAAGTCTTTCGAGCCTAGACTTAAAGAGAAGGAACGTAGAGAGTCGCGAACTCTTTCTTTCATCCTTCCCTTCTCTGGCAATCTGATCTCAAAGTCACCTAACCTAAACCCTAAAATTCCTCAACCTCTTTCAATTTCAATTGGTATCAGAGCGGCTCCTTGAAGAAGTTTACTACTGCCAAGGTCAACGATCCCATGGCCTCAAGTTCCTTTGGTCATGCCGCGCTGAATCAACCTTCTATTTTCACCGGGTCTAACTATACCGCGTGGAAGAAGAGGATGAAACAGTTTATGTGGGGGATCGATAAAGAATTATGGCTAGTCGTTCAAACTGGTCCCATCGAGATGAAGGAAGAAGAGCAAATTTTTTGGTCGGCTGCCCAGAATAAAAGCGCTCAATTAAATCAGCGAGCAATGCATGTCTTGCATTCGGCGATGAGCCCCGATGAAGCAGACCAAGTGGAAAATTGTGCAACAGCTCAGGAAATCTGGACAACCCTGGAAAGCACATACGAAGGTACTTCGAATACCGAGAATCTCGTATAGATCTTCTTGTTCATGAATATGAAGCGTTTAGTATGATTAAAAATGAAGGGTTTCATGAAATGTATTCTAGGTTTACCGTGTTAATAAATAAACTAAAAGGTCTGGGAAAAACATTTCAAACTAAGGATATCAACAGGAAAATTCTCAGATCTCTACCAAGAGAATGGTTACCTAAAAGAACAGCTATTGAAGAAGCAAAAAACTTGACTACTCTTCCTACTAGTGAACTGATTGGATCACTTCTAAGTCATGAAAATGTTCTGAAGCAAGTAGGTCAAGAAGATGACAGGAGGAATAGGAACTTAGCTTTCAAAACTAGAGCCATGGACTATGATCTGGATAGTGATCTAGAGAATGACTTTGACAAAGAGTTTGCTCTAGTCAGTAAACGCTTTCATAGAATGCTGAAATTTAAGAATGAACAAAAGCAACGATATGATGACACTAGACATGGAGGTTATGATCGTACTAATAACTCTTCTCAAGCAAGGTTGCTACCCCAGCAGACCAGAAAAACTGAAACAGGTCAGCAAGATAAAGAGCTACAAGCTTGCTACAAATGTGGCAAGTTTGGACACATCAGAGCTCACTGCCCTTTAACCTTGAGAGCTAAGGAGAAAGCAATGAAAGTATCCTAGAGTGATTACGAGACAGATCAAGAAGATCCCGAATCAGATAATGAAACTTTTATGGCAAGAAATGATTCTGAAGAAGATGAAATGGACTCCAACTCAAATGATCATCAATGGTATCTCGACAGTGGTTGTTCACACCACATGTCTGGTAAGAAGTTTCTTTTCTCCTCTTTAACCTTGGTAAATGGAGGTAAGGTGTGGTTTGGTGACAATGGTTGTGGTAAGGTTATTGGATCTGGAACTGTTGGCAAAAAGCCCTTTCCTTCATTCAAAAATGTCTTGCTGGTGGAAGGGCTAAAACACAATCTGCTGTCGATAAGTCAGTTGTGTAGTAATGATTATCATGTCTTATTTGAAACTGATGGGTGTGTTGTCAAAAGAAACAATGATGAAAAGGTGATGTTTGTTGAAAAACGTTTGAACAACATGTATGTCATTGACTTGAGTAACCTAAATGCCTTCAATGAGTTGTGTTTTGTGTCATCTTTTCAACATGAATTGCTGTGGCATCGAAAAATGGGTCATGTGAGTCTTAAAAACTTGTTAGTTTGACTAAGTTTAGCATGGTTAGAGGGGTCCCTGTCTTGAAAGATAAAACTGATTTCTTCTGTGATACTTGTGTGAGTGGTAAACATACAAAAAAATATTTCAAACCCAAGAAGGACATAACTACTCAAGAGATGTTTGAACTTATACACATGGATCTTTTTGGTCCATGTAATGTTACTAGTTTGGGTGGAAAGAACTATGTTTTTGTGTTGGTCGATGACTTCTCTCGTTATACTTGGATTTACTTTCTTGCTCATAAAGATGATACTCTTGCTAAGTTTAAGAACTTTGTGTCACTATTTGGTAATAAAATCAAAACTGTTAAAAGTGACAACCGTGGAGAATTTGTTTCTGAAGAATTTGAGTCTGTTTGCAGTGAGCCTGGCATTGTTCACGTCTTCTCAGCTCCACGCACTCCACAACAAAATGGAGTCGTGGAACGAAAGAACAGAACTCTCATTGAGTGTGCCAGGACTATGTTGCTTGAGTTTAACCTTCCTAAATTCTTTTGGGCTGAGGCTGTTAGCACAACTTGTTATTTGATAAATCGTGTGATAGTTAGAAAAGGGATAAACAAAACGCCTTATGAAATATTCAAAAATAAAACCCCTAATCTGGCTTATCTTCATCCCTTTGGTTGTCCCTGCCATGTTCTGAATACAAAGGATAAACTGGGAAAATTGGATGCTAAATCTGATCAAGCTATTTTCCTTGGGTATTCAGTTAAAGGACAAGCATATCTTGTGTTCAATAAACGTACTAAAAGGGTTGAAGAATCTTTCCGTGTAATTTTCAACGATTCTCACTCTAGTTGCAAGCAATCTGTGTAGGAAAATCAGGAGTATGACCTGCTGGAAATGACTCACAAGATATCGGAGGAACCTGAGCATCCAGAGGAAGCTGATGTAATAGTAGGACAACCCTCAGATGCCAACAACACTGAACCAATCACTACTGTTGAGGATGAATCACTCATCACTCCTCCTTCTGCGCCACCTCATATACAGAAACGTCACCCAGCAGAACAAATCATTGGCAACATTAACGATGGACTTCGCACCAGAGGTAAGTACATTCCTGGACAGTATGCATATGTGTCACAATTTGAACCAAAAAATTACAAGGAAGCGCTTAAAAATGATGATTGGTTCTTTGCTATGGTAGATGAACTAAGTCAGTTCAAAACTCTGCATGTTTGGGATCTTGTTCCTCGTCCTTTAAATCAATCTGTGATAGGAACCAAATGGATTTTGAGAAATAAATATGATGAAGAGGGTGTCATTACTAGAAACAAAGCTAGACTAGTTGCCCAAGGGTACACACAGGAGGAAGGGGTTGACTATGATGAAACCTTTGCCCCTGTTGCTAGACTAGAATCTATTCGTCTCTTGTGTGCTTATTCTTATATGGGGTTTCCTCTTTTCAAATGGACGTCAAAAGTGATTTTCTGAATGGAGACATTCAAGAGGAAGTATATGTCTCACAACTTCCAGGTTTTGAGGATCATCCGTATCCAAACCATGTCTATAAACTTAGAAAAGCTCTGTATGGTTTAAAACAAGCTCCTCGAGCTTGGTATGATAGACTAACATCTTTTCTATCACTACAACAAATTCAGTCTATTATGACGAGGCAATTTTGTCATATTAGATACATATTTTGTCATATTAGGTATAGTATGACAAAATGTGTTGTCACAAAGGTTTGTCATTTTATCGCCGTCAGGATAGGTCAAATGTGACAAAAAATTAAAATAAGGTTGTCACATTTGTTGTCAATATAACTGAGGTTTTCGGTAGTATATTGTGACAAACAGAGATGTTATGACGACATATTTTGTCATTACGGTTGTCATAAAAGGCAACTAGGTTCAGCGACGGAGACTTTTTTTTGGAGTAATTTATATATTTTTCCTTTCAATTTATTTTTTCGGATTTCATTTTAGTATATTTCAGAATTAATTTTCTTGAATACTTTTTTAGCTATTCACAGTTTATTTTTTGGTCCAGATCTAAACGTCACCTCTTCAAAACCAAGATTTTGCATTCGGCCAAGATTTAATAAACTACCAATCCCCTGTTTTATATTCACATCCAAACTCCAGATTGGCCATTTAAAAACCTTAATCTTTATAATCAGTTTGAAGAAAAGTACCCAACGCTTCATCAATCCAAAGCCTGCAAAAAAAAACCAAGTCAGAATCAGTAAACAGAATAAAATAGAAGAGAATCGTGAGCATATTGAGAGGAGAGACGTGGAATTGGAATGAAATAGAAGAGAAGAGACGCATATTGACCGTTATAGCCGATACAGAGAGGAAGACCAGATCTGTGTTTTGATTTTTCGGTGAGAAACGAGAGGAGAAGGGGTCTGCATGCGGCTAGGGTTTTCTAGCCAATCGTTGCCATCATCGCCTGTCGATCTCTCCGCCCTTCGCCTCTCGATCTCTCCTCCCCTTGCGTCTCGATCTCTCTGCCATCGTCGCCGGATCTCGCCAATCGTTGCCCTCTCAATCTCTCCACCAGTTTCGCTGGTTATCGCCAGAGAAGGCATCTACTGCGGGTTTTTTTTAGAGAGGAAGGAAGAGATGAAGACTTCGTTTTCTTTAAGAGTAGAGAAGCAGATGAAGGGTCGTTTTTTGGAGAGAACGAAGAAAGAAGATATGAAGGAAAGTTGAAAAGTGGGCAGAGGGGGTTGATGTTTCATCATAATAAAGATAATAAAGAAAATACGTATCCTTTATCTTTCCTCTTTTCCAAATTTTTTTGTCTCACACGATTCCTAACTTTATTTACATCCGCATTTACCTAATATAATAATAATAAAGAAAATATGGGTTTTTTATTATGTCTTATTTTTTTTTGTTTATTCCCTTTAATGTTTCCCCCCAAACGGGTTTCATTGTGCCTAATTTAATTATTATTTCTACTTTTTTCTTCTCCTGACTAATTTTCTTTCCTTAAATATGGGTCATTTTATTATTAAAAATGAAAATTATGTTCATCTTCTATTATTGTGTCTAATATAATTGAGTTTCTCAAATCATATGCAACTACTTTTATATCGAACATAATGGAATTTCTCAAACTGCACGTCTAATATTTCAAATTTCCTTATATATATAGAACTACAGTGAAGTAGGGCATATTAGATGTCACAATGTCTACAAAATGGAATTGCACTATGATTTATTAAAACATGCTTTAGTTTAGTCTATTTATTCATGCTTTAGTTTTGTTGTGTTCTCATTGATCTTCTGTGTCTCATTCCTGTCTTCCCCCAAAGTGTCAGCCATGGTGTATGCCTTTGCCTTGACCTACTCCGGCTCCTTTTTCCATTACCCTGTTCTGCCAAACTACCATCGTCACACTCAGTCCTTTGCCAACCGTCCCATCAATCCTTCTACCATCCTAAACCTTCCTGATTTCTTACCTCTAGGATTGGATGTGATGCCGTTTTTTCAGAACCTAGGTTGGGAATTCCTGCTGTCTCCTGAAGCCTCTTCTACCCTTGTTTGTCCTGAGGCAGTTAGGTTTTTCTTCTTTAACCCGCGTTACTTTGGTCTTCAATCTCGCACCCTGTCTTCTCTTGTGCATGGCCACATGATTACTCTCCCCCTGCATGATATCAGTCGTCTACTTCATATTCCTGCTTTTGGGGAGGCTCTTGCCCATCCAGCTGAACTCCCTTTATTCAATTTTGATGTAGTCACTGAGGCAGTTCACCTCACTGGTCATGAACCTGACCAGGATCTATCATTCTCTGCGGATCTCCTTTACCCTTCCCTGAAAGCTTTTCACTACATTTTGACCAGAGTCTTTCTTCCTCGCTCGATTTTCCTCAATCGTGTCCTTCCTCTAGATCTGTGGATTCTGTCCCATGCTGTTGTTGTTGTCCCTCTTGACTTCTCTCATCTTCTGTTTGGAGCACTTATTCCCTTCATCGATCATAATTTTCATGCTCCTCTCCCGTTTGGCGCTATGATTACTCGTCTGTTGCTTGCCTTGCCACTCAATCTGTCTCCCTATCGTACTGAGAATCCTTCTCTGTGGCTTACCGCGGATGACGTACTTCATGAAATTGGGATTGTGATTGAGGGGGAAGATGATGACATATTTCACTGGATCAGCAGCGACTCTAAGGTTGAAAATGAGGGTGAGGGTGGCGAAGCTGTGGAAGCACCAGAGATAGTAGAACCAGAAGTTGCTGCCCCTGCTCCTGTTCCTCTTGCATCTTTTGCAGTTGTTCTCCAAGAGCTCTATGGCTCTGACTCTTATTAGAGCCAGCTCTGTTGGAACTAGTTTTAGTAGATTCTGGTTTGCCTTGATAGATGTTTGTGTGAGGATTCTTGGAGAGACTGTTTTCATTTGGTTATTGGACTTATTTGATGTATTGCTCAGGGGGAGCTTCGAATTGTGATTGTGTTTTATCTGTCTTTTGGTATTGGAGTTATCTTATGAATGATGTCTTGCTGCTTGATTTGCGGAGGAAAGGTGTTTGTTAAATGTTTGCAGGTTTGAAGCAATCTGCAATCTCCAACTTAGGGGGGAGATTGTTGACTAATTCAAGTTTGAGATTGAATCTGAAAGATTGCAGTATCAAAGCCACCATTTAAGGAATCAAATCGCTGTCAAGGAAAGTTGCATTTCCTGTGTGCAACGGCTAGCTTGCCTCTCTCTATATATTCTTGCTGCTGATTTCATGAGGAGACACTTTTGCATAAGCTCTCAGTGGCATAGGTCTGAAGCTAGGAAATTGCATAAGGGGTTTGACAATCTCAGGGGTAGAGGTTCTGAGTGTGTCAAGGCAGATTAGATCAAGGCTGATCTTGGTGGTTTGTTTATTTTTGTTCTATTGTTTTCGTTTCATATTCTTGTCTTTCATTTTGTTTGAAAAACTGAAAAATAATCAAACGCCTCCCAGACCATATTCTGGGACGAGGAAGTAAACCATTGCACTGGGGCGAACCTCGTTAAAAAACATGGTGTGTCTTTTCTTTCCTTGCTCTACTTTCGCTTTCTCGAGTGGTTACTTCAGCCCTCTGTTCTTCCCCTGTTTTTCCTCTGCTGAGGGATTGTGCTCTGCACTAAACGAAGAAGGAAACGTTTCTGGTTTCCTTGACAAACCAGAGACTGGGCTTGGACTGTTCAATTTTGGGCTCGGGTTTTATTAAGGTTGAAAAGTGGGCTTGAAGTCTTTCGAGCCCAGACTTAAAGAGAAGGAACGTAGAGAGTCGCAAACTCTTTCTTTCATCGTTCCCTTCTCTGGAAATCTGATCTCAAAGTCACCTAACCTGAACCCTAAAATTCCTCAACCTCTTTCAATTTCAACAACCATTCTTACTATCAAACAAACTCCAACCAAACTTCTCACCAAACAAGTGAGACCAAAACACAACTACCCAAAGTCAACTCCAAAGCGATTCCTCCACCGAAACCAAGCTAAGGAATTGAAAGCTACCTCCACAAAGCAAAACTTCAGTCCAGCGCCAAATTCCCAAAACCGCAACCAGGCTCTGATACCACTTGTCAGAACAGAAGCGTGCAATCAATAATCCAAATCAACACGAACGAACACAAATTTAACGTGGTTCACTAACACAATGTGTGTTAGCTAATCCACGGGCGGGGGAGGGGGGGGGGACAAATTTCACTGATTTGAGGAGAGTACAGGTTACAAACCAAATTCCAAACGGACAAACCCAACAAACTAACTTGACTGACGTTACTACAGACTAGGGTGATGAAGAGTATTTATAGAACTCTTCTCCTAATCCCAAACAGAAAACCAAACTCCTTTTCCCAAACATACAAGGAAAAGGTCATACAAAACCCAAACACAAACCCAAACAAAATAGGCCCAAACACAAAACAAACCCAAATCAAATTCAAGTCATATTCCAACAAAATGCTTCTCCATCTTCACCGTCATTCACCAGCGTAAATCTTATTCCATCTCGTACCATGTTGTCCTCATCCTCGTTCTTAATAAATACGAATATAAGACCTTCTAATATGCTTGGTTTAGTTTCTAGTCACATTTCCTTAAGGTTTTGTGCATTAGGGATCCATCCTCCAAGTCACCTTGTCTTACTTATCTCCATATTTATATTGCCCCTTTTATAGTCTTGCCCTCGGTGTAGTCCTCCAGGTTCCTTCATACTCTTCTTTTTCACTTAAGTCATTTGACCTATAAGGTTGCCATCCTAGACATTTGTGGAGGACCACACTTCACCTTTGAGTTGATTAAGGAACTCTTTGAAATTTGTCGAACTTCCTCTAGCCTGCTTATTCTCTCATTGGCACTTAACTTAATGGCTCTTGCTTGTTGTTGCTTGGAGTCGAAGTTCTTGTTCACTTGCTTTATGTCCCTTCATAGACCATAACAACTTTTCTCATATCATTCAACCATAGGTCAATGATTTTCGTCCGCTTTAATCTCTTAGTCGATGCCCTAACTGTTAACAAAATGTGCATTATTTATTTTTAAGCTAGTCGGATCCTCTTGATGACATTCTTCCATGTCTCAACCACTTAGAGTGAGGTACCTTATGTTAGGACTCCAAAATAGTTAGTGGACAAAATTTGTTGCATTAAAAATTGATTTCGAGTTCAACTGGCTCGTTTGAAATTGCCACAACATTTAAGAATTTCCTTGAAATTGTTGAGATCGACGTCCAACTTCTCACTTACACAGGGTTGAGATGAACAAATTCTTATAAGAACTCTGAAGTTAAACGTGTTTAGGATGGAGGAGTGTAGAGAAAATTGAGCTTTTGGAGGTCACCATGATGCATCCAAAATCAAAACCTTTCGAAATTAGACCCTAAACATACAAAACGTTGATTAAGATAAGAGTTGAGATGTTATATAGACTCTGAAGAGCTTGGATTGTTTTTTCATTTGAATTTTTTTCCAATTTGAATTTTTTTCAAGTATTTTTAAATTATTTTACTTAGTGATAAAAAATATTTCGGTCAAATGACACATCATTGGTTGGTGTTGACCATTGACTACTAACGGTCGAAACTAATAGAGAAGATCGTATTAGAATTATTATTTTGAAAAATTTCGTTAGTTTTAAGTTTTTGAGTAGTATTTGGCATTTGCCTTTCTAGAATTTACAGTCGCGAAGGAAATCAAACGAAAAGTTTTTAAAAATGGCAACTTGCCTGTTCGTCCGCGATTTTCTAGTTGCAGAAAATTCTAGAGGCGCAACTCCCACCATCGATTTGGTCAAGCGATACACGCGCTGGCTGGCTGATCCTTCAAGCAAAAACCTGATTGCCGCACACCGCGTCCAACTCCTATGACCTATCCATGTGATATCATAAAATTCTTCTACGTCCATTTTCTGTTCAATTCCAAATTCCAGTCGAAAGCTCCTTCGCCCATCCTCTCGTCCTTCAGCTCGTCTTCCTCCTAATTCCTACCTCGTCGATAATATTTCACAATGGCTCGTGGCCGCGGCGGTAGCTCTGGCAAAGGTACGTGTCTTGGTCGCTTGTGTCGCTTCCCTTTTCTCGCATTTCTCCTCGCGCGTGTTACAATTTTCCCGGCGTTTTGGCAAATTTAAGCCAAAACCTAGCCTTCGAAAATGGAGTTTCGTCGTGGTTTGAGGAGAGACCTTGCGAAATGGGATAGCCAATCGTCTGATTGACTAGTAGGTTTCCGTTGTTTGTTTGTGTTGAAATTGAATTGTGCAAGAGATTTAGGGTTTTCATCGGATCTTACAGGAACGATTTGCTCAATTGCTGAAATGATTTCGGATTTTTTGATTCCTAGCCATTGTTGAATCTTCTCTGTAACACTTCAATCGAATCATCGTTTCATCTCTTACTTACCACACATGATTACGCTGATCTCTCCTTTTCTTTCTCTTGTGTTTGGTTACCGGCCCGCTCAGCTTCCCGTTCCCGATCCCGTAGCCCTCCCCCGCAGAAAGGTAAATGCTAGCTCTTGAATACAATCTCTGCCTGATGTTCCGTTCCCCTGCTCATTGTCGATTGCGACAACCATCTTCCCGATTTGTAATTCGTTTTCTTCGGTATTTTGTAGCTGCTGCTGCTCCACCGCTAGCTCCGATGCAATCACGTTCCCAGAACGAACCCATAGCAAGAGGAGGTCTCGGCGCTGCAGTAGCAGACGGTGGGTTCGCGCCTCTATGCCCTCTGCATTATTCCCCCCATAGGGTAGATCGGATCGAAATGTGAACTTAATTCGATACCATTGTTTTCTCGAAATTATGAACCAGGACTGGCATGGGGTACTGGAACCGCTGTGGCTCACAGAGCTGTGGACGCTGTTCTTGGTCCTCGAACCATCAAGCACGAAAGCTCTGCTGCCTCGTCCGAGCCTACTGCTGCAATGCAAGCAGCAGCCGCAACTCCTAACAGCACCATCAATTCTTCCTGTGATGCTCAATCCAAGGCCCTTCAAGATGTTAGTACTCTCCTCTCGCTCGGTTTACTCTTTCGACCCTGTTGATTGTGACCTTTTGGATTGATGTAACGATATTATTCCCGAGTTTTGTTACTCGTTTTGTGTGTTGAAGATTAGTCTGCCTGATGAATGATTTTGTGGGACTTGCAGTGCCTAAACATGTTTGGTACGGACATCGGTAAGTGCCAATTCTACATGGACATGCTGGGAGAATGTCGCAGGAGTGCTTCCGGTGCTGGGATGGCTGCTTGATTGTGAAGATAAAATTTCTGTTGAATTGCTTGAGAGCTTTTTATTGAAAGAAATGGTGGTAGCCCACTGGGTTTACTAGTATCTGTGTTGCTTATGTGTTGGTAGTTTAGGTGATGAGGGTTTGGATCATGGTGATTTCGATCCCTCTGCTCTTCATCTATTATTTGGGTATGTAAATGTGTGGGGCTAATGTTGAATGAATCTGTCGGTTATTTTTTTTTTCTACTTTTTTTTATACGAGGAAAATGCAAACGGCTGAATTCATACTTAGGTCATTATTTTTCGTTCAATTCCGTTAACTTAGTCTGATATGGCAGTCAACTCTTAAAATTGACAATTAACTAAGTGACGATTAACTAAGTGATATGACGATTAAAAAATAATAATTAAAATAAAATTTATCAAATTGAAAGGGGGCGCTTACTCCTTTGCCACCACCTCCCTTCTCGCAACCAAACCAACTTCAATTTCGCATCACTAGCTACGCCCCTTGCCCCCTTCTCCGTTGCTTCGTGGTCGTAATCACTAGCTCCACCTCCTCCACCCTCGACGGGTCGATCCCACCCCTTCCTCCAACTCCATCCAGCCCTGCTGACTCACACAAAACGCCACACTAGAAATCCCCTTCAGAGCCCAAAATTTTAAAATCTAGAGGGGTGCAAAATAGGGCAAGTAAGTTTTAATTATCAACCCAAGCCGATCCATGTACTCCTATTTCAATAGCTTAGGTTGTTATCTAGCAAGCAACTTTTGGGTTTAGAACTAATGGAACTACAAACTAAACAAGCAAAGAAAAGTAAATAAAGGAAAATTCTAACAAATGGAGCATCACCTAGGAGTTGCTTCCCTCTAACTAGCTACCATGACTCATTGGATTGAATGGAGTCGTGTGGTGTAGGTGGTTGTGAACCGCGAGGGTGAGCAACTAGTGATCGATTTGTCACGAGATCGATCCACTCACAACGTCTAGGGGAACCGCTAGGAGGAGCAATTAGTGATCCATTTGTCACGAGATGGATTCACTAAAGATCGATTTGTCAGGAATCAATCCTCTCACTCGGTCTCTAGGGGTTGCCTAGGGCTCTCCCTCAAACCGGAGTTTGAACTGCTTAATCACAACCAACCTAGATGCAAACTTGAGTCAAGGGGGGTGCTCATTTCTAACCTAGATAGTAAGCACAAAGTGCCCTGGACAACTAAGGTTGTCAAGCCTACCTAAAAAGGTGTGGTTTTCCTCTAATCTAGGTTAGGCAAGCACAAAAGATTTGGAAAGCACAACTAAGCACAATCACCATGAAGACACCTCTACTACTCAAATTGATGCAAAACCATACAAAATCATTCAATCTAAACAAGTAATTACAAAGTATTAGTTAGGGATCTACAACACCCAAGAGAAAAGAATGAGTTTCTAGAGAGAGAGAGAGAGGGGAGAGATTACAAAGAAACCTCTAGATCTTCTTTTTCTAGGCTTGATTCCTTGATCCCAAGCTTGAACAATGCCTTCAATTAAGCTCCAAGATCCTTCTCTCACTCTCTAGAACTCCCCTGTGGTGTTTTGGGTGGAAACCCTAGAGAAAGAAACCAATTCTGCTCCAAAAACCAGCTCTCCCTTCTCTCTCCCCGTTGCCGTCTTCATATTTGTCCGAAAGTGACCAGGTACACCTAAACGCGTCCGTGAACTCAGTGTCATCTCCAAAACGCACCGCTTCGCTTCTGTTGTTCACGGCCATTGGCTCCAGTTCACGGTCTTAGCGACCGTGAACTCCCTTGGCGTCAGTAACCTCTGAAACCTCGCTGGACTGCTCGATGTTCACGGATTGTGACTCCAGTTCATGGTCTTAGGAGACAGTGAACTCCCTTGTTTGCTTGTGAACTGCGACTGCTTCTTGGACGCCTACACTTCACTGTTACGGGCTTTAGACTTTTCTTCGGTTTCTATGCTTTTTGACCTCCAATTATCCTAAAATTCGACCTCGGCCCTTCCACACGTGCTAGGACCTCAAACGTATCAAAACAAACACAACCTAGCATGAAATATGTCGAGGAACGATGAAATACTAAGCTAAATGAATAAGAAATGAGGGGTAAATTATGTACATTTGGGCCCGAATCACTCCGCCACACTTACACGTTTGCTTATCCCAAGCAAACTTAGGACTCGATAAATACACATGCTTTTACCCCTATTCTTGAGCCGTTTGAGATGTTGATTCTCGTGTTTTAGGACGATTTCACGCTAGGTTTTTCTTTTTTGTAATATTTCAGGTCCTAGTACGTGTAAAGGTTTGGGAACGAGTTCGGGGTCGATTGGACGAAGATTGGACATTTGGCGAGAAGTTGATGAAACCACATGGGCACGCCTAAAACCCACACGGCCGTGTAAGGGAACCCATGTGGTCGTGTGGAAATTCCAGGGAACTCACACGGGCAGCCTGGAAATCCACACGGCCGTGTGGTTGTGGCCGTGTGGGATGGCTGAAGTCACTTAATCGAAACTCCGCGTTTTGACACTCACACGGGCAGCCTGGGGAAGCCACACGACCGTGTAGTCGGGAAATTTTGGGTTTTAACCCAATTTCGAGCCAAAGGAGAGAGAGAGAGAGCTGGGTTTTGGATCCCGAACACCCAAGGGACGAACCAAAGAGAGAAAAGACGATTTGAGGGAATTCTTAGAGTGGAATTGGAGGATTTCTTCGCCTTGGAAGCTCGAGGAACAAGCCCGGACTTGAAGACTGATCATCTGAAGATTCTTACTGCAGTCTCTCTCTTCTCTATGGAGTAACTTCCCTTCACTTAGGTTTTGAGGAACCCTAGCTATGTTTGTTTGATTGGATGATTGTATGAGTACTCCTACTTGATAATCTTGAGTTCATATTCAATCTATGCACGTTTTCATGATTCAATTCTACTTTAGTCGAGATTATTGATTCTGCTTTGATCCTATGAGAGTGAATACCTGATTAGGTCAATAGAGCACCATAGATTGATAGTAGTGGATTGATTGCTTTAGTCGAGGGTTGATTCACTGCTTTGTATCGATTAAGAACCTCTATCAATAGAGGGAGTCTAGTTTAGAACGCCTTGATAGTTTGTTCTAGAGAAGGATACGTCCCTTTAAGCAATTGACTCAAGAGGGCCTTTTTCCTTTAGTCGAGACTCAAGGTCTAGTCAAGGATTCTCCACATTGTGAATGAAAGTGAAACAAGTTAGAAATCATCAATCATTAATTTGACTAGTGCTAGGAGGAATCATACCTAAGTGAGTTCCCAACCTGTAATTAGATTAACTTTAAATGTAGTTTGCTAGAGTAGTTTTAGTTCTTTCATCTTAATCTGGTTTTCTAGATAATGAACTGAAGCTGGGTAATAGTAACTCTAGAGACCTGTGGATTCGATATTTATTACTTGAGCCACTATAATGCAGTCTCTTTCATTGGTTACACTTGGCCTGTGTTAGGAGTTGTGTCATAGCGAGTCACAAACCAAGGAGGAGAAGACTATGGATTCGGGTTCCAGTACCAACCCCCTTACTACGGAGAACAATCAGACCCCTGGGCATATCAAGAACAACCTCATTACCAAGAAGACTTTCGCCCACAACCAGAAGGGCCATCGGCGCTTGTGTTACCCATGGCGGCCTTCACGGGCCATTCTGCAGAGCCATGCTACACTCCACAGCCAGATCCAAACTATGAATTGAGGCTCCTCATGGAGCAGTTTGCTCGAGACAGTGAAATATCATGGTCCAGGATGGATCTTTGTACCCAGGCCTATCGTGAAACAGAGGAGATCCTCCTGAGCATTAAGAAGAGCGTCGATGATCTTGAGCGATCTTACGCACAACCTGCTCCAGATCACCCTTCTGCTACCATACTAGAAGAGGTGGAGGAAGAAGAAGGCCACAAGGACATTGTGGAGCACACTGAAGTTGTCACGGAGAGCTCCCGTGATGATCATGATCAGGAATGTCCTGTCGTAGCCGACCACACCTTCCCACAGCCCAAACCGAGCTTTGAAGAGGCGGGCATGAGTGAGGAGATGCAAGAAGATCTCATGAAAGAAATTGCTTGGCAACTTGCTCTCCAATCCGTGCTAGAAGAAGAAGAGCGAGAAAGGGTGCAGAAAGAAGTTGTGGAGGATGACGAAAGTGAAGCAGAAGGAGTTCTTGATCATTTCCCAGGGGTGATAGCACATGAAGAAGGAAGGGACGTTGAAGAAGCAATTGGCGTCCAAGCCGAGGACGAAGTTGAGGGGGAAGAGGCTTGCACTGGCCATGAGTTACATGTGATATCTCCACCAAACTTCGAGGAATTGATTAGCAAGGACCCATTTTCAGTGTCTCTTAGCCAGACCAAGGCCACATCGACATCGGTCTCTCTTGGCGGACGTGATAGTGGCCAATCGATGCTGTCATATCTGGTTTGGGGCAATGAGACGAGAGAGAGAAGAAGAGGTCTTGAGGGTGGAGACTTCATCTGCATCAAGTGCACGAGCTTCCATTACCTGTCATACCACATGCTCGTGACTTGAGACTCCACCTTATCAACGAGAACCTCAACTTCAAGGAGTTTTTGGGGTGGACCGAAACTTAGGAACCATTGTCCGGCTCACGACGTGAAAGAAGCGCTTGTTGGGAGGCAACCCAACCAGTCGCTTTGCATTTCTTTCTCTATTTCTCCTCGGTTGAGTCATTTTTGTTATTTGATTTTAGAGTCAATAAGTCAACCTTTGTGAGATTTGTGTGGTGTTTGTGTTTCGACTACTCTCTCCTCCTGGAATGCACCGCCTGCCTCGTCCACCATCATTCACCTTTGATCTGGTAACTTCGTTCTACCCTCCTTATTTTTCCTCCATTGAGGACAATGTCGTGCTTAAGTGTGGGGGGATGTTCGATTATGTATGCGGGTGAATGTTTGGCTGTTTGTGTGCTTGGAGCCTAGTCCATTATCCAAATTTTTAAATTTTTAAATTTGAGGGCTCCAAGTACTGTTCCCGGCAAAATCCTGCTCGGTATGCTTTGAATTGACAGTCTTTATGGTGATATGCAACCTAGGGAGGTAGTTGTAGCACTATGGAGGATGTTGAGGTATAAGATTTTTCCTATCTGTCTCTCTGCTATGCCGGTTGATTTTGTGAACTATTGGATTTAGGACCGTTGATTCATGTGGTATTGTTGACTCCTCTTATGTTGTGTTGTGGGCTTGTGTATCGAAAAAGGGTTCTCAAGTGTGAAATGAAAAAAGCAGTTGGTCCTCCATGTCAAAAATTTGAAATTTTAAGACATGGGGTAAGCCAAACGTGTGTGGCACTGTTCATTGCACAAAATCGGGTTTTGGAGGAGATTTTAGTGATCCTTAGTGGGGTACTCCTACAAGGTGAAGCTAAGCTGTCTCTAGTACAAGTAAAACTTCCACCCGTTGAACGGTTTGCCTACTTGAGGATGTGTTTTTAAGGGCACGGATAGAGCTTCCGACCCCCCTTAATTTCATTGACCCTCCAAACAAGTTGAGGAAAAGGAGTTAAAAGAAGTACTCTGGCGAGCGCCAGATGTACAGAAATTGCTCTTGCTCGACTAATAAGGGTCTACCGTGCAAAAGACTGCAGTTGGAACCCCCGCTAAGTGAATGCAAAAGAAAAAAAATCAGTAAAATGAAAGTGAAAAAGGGGTTCCAACGGTAAAATGAAGTGAAAGAACACCCCGGTACAACGTGTCCTTAGTTGTGAATGGTGTGAGTCCCTTTATCCATGAACTGACTGTCTTACTTCCACTTCTTCTCATGATCCTGGCTTGAGTCTAGTTCTGGCATTGAGAGAGACAGGCGATGTCTTAGAAGACCAGTTGACCTAGTAAGCTGCTATATGATCTAGGAAATCCTCTACCGACGATCGGGGTTGTTTGTTGCTATAGAGGTCTGGAGAGTTGCATTGGTTTGAGTTAGGTTTGCTTGGGGACAAGCAAACGGTTAAGTGTGGGGGAATTTGATGACTCGATATATACACATGTTTATACACCTATTCTTGAGCCGTTTGAGATGTTGATTCTCGTGTTTTAGGCCGATTTCACGCTAGGTTGTTCTTGTTTATGATATTTCAGGTCCTAGTACGTGAATAAAGGTTTGGGAACGAGTTCGTGGTCGATTGGACGAAGATTGGACATTTGGCGAGAAGCTGATGAAGCCATACGGGCACGCCTAAAGCCCACACGGCCGTGTAAGGGAACCCATGTGGCCGTGTGGAAATTCCAAGGAACTCACATGAGCAGCCTGGAAATCCACACGGCCGTGTGGTTGTGGCCGTGTGGGATGGCTGAAGTCACTTAATCGAAACTCCGCGTTTTGACACTGACACAGGCATCCTGGGGAAGCCACACGGCCATGTGGCCTGGCCGTGTGGTCGGGAAATTCTGGGTTTTAACTCAATTTCAAGCCAAAGGAGAGAGAGAGCTGGGTTTTGGATCCCAAACACCCAAGAGACGAACCAAAGAGAGAGAAGACTATTTGAGGGCATTCTTGGAGTGGAATTGGAGGATTTCTTTGCCTTGGAAGCTCGAGGAACAAGCCCGGACTTGAAGACTGATCATCTGAAGATTCTTACCGCAGTCTCTCTCTTCTCTATGGACTAACTTCCCTTCACTAAGGTTTTGAGGAACCCTAGCTATGTTTGTTTGATTGGATGATTGTATGAGTACTTCTACTTGATAATCTTGAGTTCATATTCAATCTATGCACGTTTTCATGATTCAATTCTGCTTTAGTCGAGATTATTGATTCTGCTTTGATCCTATGATTGCGAATACCTGATTAGGTGAATAGAGCACTATAGATTGATAGTAGTGGATCGATTGCTTTAGTCGAGGGTTGATTCACTACTTTGTATCGATTGAGAACCTCTGTGGATAGAGAGAGTCTAGTTCAGAACGCCTTGATCGGTTGTTCTAGAGAAGGATAAGTCCCTTTAGGCAATTGACTCAAGAGGGCATTGTTCCTTTAGTCGAGACTCAAGGTCTAGTCAAGGATTCTCCGCATTGTGAATGAAAGTGAAACAAGTTAGAAATCATCAATCATTAATCTGACTAGTGGCTAGGGGGAATCATTCCTAAGTGAGTTCCCAACCTGTAATTAGATTAACTTTAACTGTAGTTTGCTAGAGTAGTTTTAGTTCTTTCATCTTAATCTGGTTTGCTAGATAATGAACTGAAGCTGAGTAATAGTAACTCTAGAGACCCGTGCATTAGATATTTACTACTTGAGCCACTATACTGAAGTCTCTTTCATTGGTTACACTTGGCTTTTGTTAGGAGTTGTGTCATAGCGAGTCACAAACCATTTTCCACCTAGGTAATATTTCAACCTACAAAGATAGCTAGGGGACAATTTAAAAGGGACAAGGCTGTGAATCTCAAATGACTATTTGGTCATCGTCACTCAAACCATCTCACACAAATCCGGCATCCACCACTAATGACATTCAATTGCATAAAAATTGGGCAAATGCAAAGTTCTCATTCTATCCACAATCAATGAAGTCTCAAGGGCCACTAATCAATCATAACCGACCATGCATAGAACTCAAGTCAACGGAACAGACAACAGGGAAACATAGGTCCTCACCAGGATCGATATGAACATGCAAGAACAAGAATGAATCGTTCACTCTCGACCAGTGGGGTCAGGACCTTTTGGTGCGAAAGATGTGCACAATCGTCACCACTCATCCCTACCATCTCACCACCACGGCAGCAACCTCTAAACGCTAGAGTTCACAGGAAAGTTATCATCACTAGCTTGTCTGTAGGTATTAGACACGAGTTTAGATGACTGGCAATTGTCTTGGACATGGGGAAAAGGCCTTTTGGGTGGTGGCAAACACAACATGTGGTTCTACATCTTCAACCTAAAGCCGAAGGTTCTATGGTTTCGACTAAGAACATTCTCTACAAACAAAGTCTACTAGCATCGGCCAAAAACCTTACTTCTCCCTTCCAAACGATCACCCACCATGAACTACATTTAAGCGCTCTTTCTCAGTCTTCTCTTGCTATCACATTTCGATTTGGTAGTGAAGGAGTTCTAAAACAATGTGGGGATCTCAATGGCTTGAGTGCCAAGAAACCCCTCCTAGAGCATACACTTTGATTTTTGTGGCACCCTCTACTTTATTTACCCCGTTTTATTACCTCTTTTTCGATTCCTTTTTCTTTTCTCTTTTTTTTCTTTTTTCTTTTTGAGGGGGTACTAGAGAGTAAAACACTTGCCACCTATACATTTAATGACCAATGCTCTCTTTTTAAGAACTCACTCCAACAATACACTTCATTTTTCATTCCTAGCAAGAACCGCACCTAATCCTCCTATGTAAAACCTCAATGGAACTCAAAAGTGAGAGCTCCGAGATACAAGGACGACTCATGTAATGACGTGAAGAAAGGATTGGGGTCGTTCTATCAACACCATAAAGCTCACAAGCGAGAAGCTCCTAACATAAGAACGACCCTCGAAGTCACAAGGCTCAAAGGGGTTGACTAAGGGATAACACATTTCGGGACAATCAACATTTGGGCATGGACTAATCCTATGCCTCCATCCTACTCGCTAATGATAACTGTGATGCAACAATTCAAGAACGAAGCCAAATAAGCACGAGATTCATCATCCAACCGGCCATTTTGAAAAAGCATTGCTTGGTGCCCTCAAATTTTTTCAAATTTGGGCATACATCAAGGCTCCAAGCATTCAAAATCACACCAAACATTCACACATCATGCATAATGGACTACCCCCCACACTTAATGTCGACATTGCCCTCAATGGCATAAAATAGGGAAGTAGAACAATGTTACCGGATAGTGGTGAATGTTGGTGTCGGGAGCAGAGGGCGGGTGAGATCCGGAAGAGCAAGGAGGCGGAAAAACAAAAGGTCGACTTATTGAAGCCAAAATAAAACCCACCATTGATGGTTGGGTTGCCTCCCACCAAGCGCTTGTTTAACGTCGTGAGCCGGACGGTTGCTCTTCAAGTTTCGGTCCACCCAAGAACTTCATTGAAGTTGAGGTTCTCGTCAGTGAGATGAAATCTCAAGTCACGAGCATTGGACGAGTCCATGATTGAGGGCTCGTGAACTTGAGTGGCTTTGAGGCTCCACCCACGAGACCTCTCCTTCTTTCCTTCTTTCTTCTTCTCCTTGTCCCATACCATGTAGTGCATCATCGATTTACCACCATCGCATCCAGCAAGAGGTCGGGTGGAAAGCTTCATCCACCATGACGTCGTCTTCATCTTGGACCTCACTTGCTCCTTCTACTTATTACTCAACCTCCCTTCCTCCTGATTCAATTTCATCCCCTTGGGATCACTCTAAATCTTCCCCCTCTTCGATGCTCTCTTCCTCCTCTTCAAACTCTTCTTTCTCCTTCTTCTTCATGTCTCCAAGCACAAATTTGAGGGCAAGATGCCATGCAAGGTCATCAAAGAGATTCTTTTGCTCCTCCACACTCGTGTCTTGGTCTTCGAAGTTGCTTTCGGGAAGGGGAAAGTGATGGGAGTCATCAACGCAACGTTCTTGTTCATCCTCACTACGGGAGCTCTCTGGGGTGAGTTCTTCTTGCTCCGCATGGTTGTCATTGATCACTCCTTCAAACTTCTCCTTCTCATCCAATAATGAGAGGCGATAGCTTTCACAAGCTCGTGCCACTTTCTCTTCTAGTATCAAACCGAGAGGAGGGAGGGGCTGGAAGTCCATGTAGGAGCTCGTTCTTCCAAAATTCTCATGGCTAACCTTTTCGACTTCCTCTCTTTCTTCCAATGGTAGGAGGAGATTGTGAGAAATTTGTGCACGTGCTTTATCTACAAGCCCTCATAGCCTCTTCGTGCGTCGACGGAGCTCCTCCGGCTCCGGAAGAAAGGTTGAGTCGATAAGGTTGGCGATTGGGAGGTCCATGCTAAAGCACCCTTCACTGGTGCCCCGGAAAAATCGCTCCACCATGAGCTCTAATTTGCTCTTTGGCTTCGGTTGTGGAGTGGCACATGGTCTTGAGATTTGTCCCATGAAAGCCTCCATGGCCAACTCCAACTTGGATGTCATCTCGAGTTGTGGAGGGGAACCTTCTTGATATGGGGAAGCTTCTTGGTATCCACATGAGCATGGTTGCTCTTCATGGAAGGGAGGTTGGTAGTAGAATCCGGATCCATGACTTCCCCCTTCTTGATCGTCCCATGAAGTTCCGGGGTAACCACTCTCGGGTGTTGGTGGATACCCCCACACTTGGGCGAAATCATAAGGATCCATGATCCAATACCTACAAACACAAAAACACTAAAAAAGAAATATCAAACACACACAAACCAGCCTTCAAGACGAAGAGTGGTAAACAAAACACACACGAAACACAAACAGAAACAAAAAGGCAAGATAGAAAATGATAGAGTAACACTAAGCGACCTTTTCAAACTAATGGACTGCGGTTCCCCGGCAACGGCACCAAAAACTTGACTCACACAAAACACCACACTAGAAATCCCCTCTAGAGCCCAAGTTTTTAAACTCTAGAGGGGTGCAGCATAGAACAAGTAAGTTTTAATTATCAACCCGGGCCGATCCATGTACCCCTACTTCAATCGCTTAGGTTGTTATCTAGCAAGCAATTTTGAAAAAAATTCCACTGTACACATGTTCTTAAAAAAAGTTCCCAAAATACATAAGTTATAAAATTTTTTCCAAAACTACACATGTTTGGCATTCACCGTTTTTGATAAACGCAATGAAGATTATCACCGCGTTTGACAAACACGGTGAATATTTCACCGTTTTAGAGAAAAACGGTGAATACTTCACCATTTTTCTCTAAAACGGTGATATATTCACCATTTTTCTCTAAAACGGTGATATATTCACCGCTTTAAACTAAAACGGTGAAGATATCACCGTTTTAGGGCAACACGATGAGTATTTCACACGTTTCCAACCCCTGGTAGGTGAAAATTAGGTAACAGCTACCTAGTGTTCACCGTTTGAGACAAACGCGGTGATGGTGTTCACCGTGTTTGACAAAAACGGTGAATAGTAGGCAGATTTTCCTATAAATACCACGCCACAGCAGTTGTAAAAACATAACCACTCCCCCCCTCTTCA